ACTATATTAATTTCTATTGCTGCTGTAGAAAAAAAACACACAACTAAAAATGTGGAATTGGCAATGGGCAGTGACTGGTAGAATATTGAAGAACATGATATAAACTAACTAGATTGCCTTGAGTAGACTGTTAGTAGAAATATGGATGTGAACAACTGTGAGGACACAGAGGGAGTGCTGAGCATGATAGAAAAAACAAATTATCTTATGAAATACCTAAATCATCATGAACAGACTATTGGTAGAAATATGGACATTAAATGTACTGCAGGCGTAAGTTAAAATGAAAATGAGAAACATGTTATTGGAAACTGGAGGAAAGGAGATCCCTGTTACACAGCAGAAAGCTTAGGTGAATTGTGCCCTGCAATTATGTAGAAAGCAAAATCCGTAAATAATAAAGTGAATATTTAGCTGAGAGGATTTCCAAACAAAATGTTAAAGAGGAGGCCTGGTTTCCTCTTGCTGCCTATAATAAATTGCAAGAGGAAAGATAAATTTAGGGAAGAACTTTAAGTGAAGAAGAATCAGGACTGATGCTTTGGGAAATTCACGGCCTATTTAGATTGCAAAAACACTAAAATTAGGAGATTCACCATCAGGAAAGCATGCTCAGGAAAGCATCACTAGACAACCTTTGCTATTGTCTCAAAAGAAACAAAAAGATTATTCAATCACACAGGGGGTTCTTTGAAGAAATTTGGAGTGTGACTCATGGATCCTTTTATCCATTTAAGTACAAGCTAGGAATAGAGACAGGGTGATTCAGGAGGAATCCACAGAAGAGCCTCTTGCCTACTGTTGTAAGTTTCTGTGATATATCCAGGAGACACCCTCGTTCTTGAAAATGTTATACCAGCAGAAACACTGCCAACTTTGAGACAGGCAGGCTGGTTGGTTTCCTGTTTTGAAGTGGCTTAGATAAAAAGAACAAAAGCTCCTTACACAAGTTGCAGTTTACACTACTTCCAGCCAATCAGCAACAAAAGACCCAAGAGCTATTAATCCCAAATTCCTGCTTTAAGGGATTAGGGACTTCCCTGGGGCTCCATATGCATACTAAGACTTACACTTCAACTCATAGCTCCCCTTTCCTCATTTTAAAGCTAAAAATCACTACCAGGGATGGAGATTTAAACTGCTAATGTCACATGTGATGTACAAAGAAGCATGTAAAGCCACTGCACAATTGCTAGAGAAACTCCTCCTATACTTGCCCTGATAAAACACTTATCTATGGAAAGGCCCTGTAAAACTAACTCACATGCTACCCTCAGGGAGCAGCCTGCCCTTTTCCTTGTGCAGGGCTGACTTCTTGTGCACAAGGTAAAATAAAACTTTCTCTTTCTCTTTGCTGCCATGTCTGGTGATCTGTATTTCCATCCCGGAAGACTACAAGAACCCAGGGTGCTGATTATATCTTGTGGCACTTTAGATGGGACCCTCATTTTAGGGTCCCGTGGGAGCAAATGGCACAGCCTGGAGGACAGAGATGGATGACCAGGCACAAACAAAGGGAGCTGCAGCATTGTTTCAACCTGCACCATTGTTTCAGCCCTGGTGCCTTGGTGAGTCAGGTTCCTACATCGGATAAGTCCCCATTCCCTTTTTCTTTCTCTATTTTTCTTCCCCTCTTCTCTTTCTCTTTGCTTCTGTGTTTGATGATCTGTCTTGATTTCTGTACTAGAAGATTACAAGAACCCAGAACACTGATAACAACTTGAACTGAAATGGACAGAGTGAGGGCAAGATAAATGAAGAATGTCAGACTCCCAAAATTCTACATGCAGAAAAAAAGGCTGATAAAACTACTCAGCAACAAACACATTGTATGTTTCAAGAAGAAGAAAAGATGATTCCAAGGGTGGAACTTCAGGCCAGGAGGATGTAGCCAGAAATCACAAAAGACTATTTCCAGGCCTTGCAATTTAAGTTTTCCCAGTTTGAAGGATTTGAAATTTTGTGGGACTGAGGACTCATTTTTTCCTTTCATTTTCTCCTTTTTGGAATGGGAATACAGTTGATCCTTGAACAACACAGGGTCGAACTGCATGTGTCCACTTATATGCATATTTTTTTCAACCAAATGGGGATTGAAAATACAGTGTTCTTGGGATGAAAAACTCACACATATGGAGGGCCAACTTTTCATATATACAGGTTCTACAGGACCTACTGTGGGATTTAAGTATGCCAGGATTTTGGTGTACGCAGGGGGTCTGGAACCAATCTCCTTTATATACTGAAGGACAATGATATTTGTAACTAGTATCTTATGTTGGTCATACCATTGTATTTTGGGAGAAAATAACTTATTTTCTAGTTTTACAGGTCCACAGATGGGGAGTTTTTCCACAGGATGAATTATACCCAAGATCTCACTAATACTGAACCTGATGGTTAAGATAATATGATTTGGGACTTTTAAGCTGTTAAGATTTAAGTAATATATTTGACTTTGAATTGATTCTATAGTGAACTGAGACTGTGGAGTATATTGGGATGGGATGTATGCATTTTGCATATAGAATGGACATAAACCTTTAGGGCCAAAGGGAAGACTAGCAGGCTATGGCTCCCCAAACATGTCCACATCCTAATCCCTGAAACCTGTCAATATGTTGCCTTATGTGGCAAAAAGGACCTTACGGATGTGATTAAGGATCTCAAGATGGGGAGACCATCTTAGGTAACCCAATGTATTCACGAACGTCCTTATAGGGGACAAGCAGGATGGTTAAACACAGAGATGTAAAGTGGAAGAAGAGGAGCCAAAGAGCGGGAGCAACCTCTGGGAGACAGAAAAGGCAAGAAAACTGATTGTTCCTGAGAGCCTCCAGATGAAATGCAGCTGTGCTAACACCTTGATTTTAGCCCACTAAAACTGATTTTAGACTTCTGTACTCTAGAACTGTTGCCAGGTTTGGGGGTACAGGGGAGCGCTTAGCTCTCCTGAGAGGACGTTTTTCCAGGCTTTTGGTTTTTTACTTATCCAAGAAAGGGAGAGGGGACCGCGCCAGGTGCGGTACGCTTGTAAATACCGGACCCCAAAAAAGTTTTTGCAGAGATTTATTTAGGCAGAGAAAGAGAAAAATGAGAGAGAAAAAGGCTTCCATGAAGTGTGTGGAAGGGGACCCAAATATGGTATCCAAAGGGGTGTGGAAGAAGGGGACTTTTAACCTGGGACAAATTCCCTCCCTCTCCAAATCCCCTGGCAAATGACACGAATTCCTTTAAACTTTCGCTGGAGGGATTGACTTTTGATTCTTTCCCACGTCCACAAAAATTAAAACAGAAACCATTATGGAAACTAATGGGAGTGGAGCATGGTGCTGGGAAGTTCTTGCCCTTAAAACTACGCCCCTTTGTGGACCCAGAAAGAGAACACATTCCCTCAGAACTGTAACAGAATAAATTTGTGTTGCTCTAAGTCACTAAATTTGTGGAAATTTGTTACAACAGCAGCAGGAAACAAACTCAGGAACCAGCAATGCATGAAGTATATGTGGACTGCTGTGCTGTAATAAAGTTTTTGTCTTTGAGCCAAGAGCCTTGTGTCTTCTGGCAGCATCCATGAGACTATGGCAAGCTGACTTGCAGGAGGGGCAAAATCTTGGACCATTCACAGTTCTTAACATTTAGTTGATAAAAATGATTATACATAGACCGAGTGTGGTGGCTCATCCCTGTAATCCCAGCACTTGGGAGGCCAAGGTGGGCAGATCATGAGGTCAGGAGTTCGAGACCAGCCTGGCCAACATGGTGAAACCCCGTCTCTATTAAAAAAAAAAAAAAGATTTTTTTTCATTGTTTTTTTTCCCACTTTTAATATCTTCCAATTTTCTTTTTCTTTTTTTTTTTTTCCAATTTACAGGTAAGATTTTAATACATGTCAAAACTTTCTTTTTTTCAGTTCACATGTTAATGTCAAATCTGAAAATCTTCCAATTTTCTGATCAATAAATCTACTTCTAAGTAAGATACCACTTAAGTAGCTATGAAATTTAATAATAGCCCATGATTTACATTTCAGTACATAAATTATGAATAATCATACTCAGAAGTTAACAAGCTGGATGGGCACAGTGGCTCATGCCTCTAATCCCAGCACTTTGGGAGGACAAGGCAGGAGGACCACTTGTCAGGAGTTCGAGACCAGCCTGGCCAACATATAGTGAAACCCTGTCTCTATTTAAAAATACAAAAATTTGCTGGGTGTGGTGGTGCATGCCTGTAGTCCCACCTACTTGGGAAGCTGAAACAGGAGAATTGCTTGAACCACAGAGGTGGAGGTTGCAGTGAGCCATCCAGCTTGGGCGATAGAGCAAGACTCCATCTCAAAAAAAAAAAAAAATTAACAAACTCAGCTTCTTTACTACTCTTGCTCTCTTGCATTAAAAAATCATGAAAATAGCATCTATTTGTAAAAATATGTTAAAGCAGCTTTAATTTCAAATAACACATGCTTTGTTTTACGATTTTTGTGTTAGATCCTTACAGAATGACACTATCTTTAAACGACATCATAGAGAAGGGATTTTTTTTTTTTTTTTGAGATGGGGTCTCGCTCTGTCACTAGGCTGGAGTGCAGCGGAATGATCTTGGCTTACTGCTACCTCTGACTCCCTGGTTCAAGCTCCTGCCTCAGCCTCCCACGTAGCTGAGATGACAGCACCACCATGCCCAGCTAATTTTTGTATTTTTAGTAAAGATGGGGTTTTGCCATGTTGGCCAGGATGGTCTTGATCTCCTGATCTCATGATCCACCTACCTCAACCTCCCAAAGTTTACAGGCATGAGCCACCATGCCCAGCTGAAAAAGGATTTCTTTTAGTGGAATAATCCCTAAATTAAGTCTCATGCATGCCTCAGATCATTAGAATCCCAGAGATGGTAGAGTCAGCATTGCCTACTCCAAAAAGTTAGGAGACATTATAAACATGGTACAACTTTTTGGGGAATAAAAAGTTCGATGTGTGAAAATAAAGAACCAGAGAAAATTCCTATGCAGTCAAATGCATTTATTTTGTAGCTTAAGCAAGACAGGTAGTATACAAATTCATAATGAAAATGCCACCCAGGGATTAACAGCTTGCCATGCATGCAACTCTGTGCATAAAACCAAGTTGTTTTAAAACCAGTGTTCAGCTTTGATTCCTCCATGAAATTAACTCTGTGTTGCTCACATGTTTACATAATTCAGGCCACCCTGAATATCTGTTAGTGGGGAATTTACAACCCACTGACTATCTCAGCTCAAAGCCAGATGACTATCACCTATACATCTGCCAAGGTAATAGCATGGCAAATAGTATTTTTTTCTTGTTCTGTAACCAATGGCACGGATACACCAACACAGAGATACCCAGAAGGCACCTCCGCTCACTCAGCTGACAACTTTCCTAACATTTCTTGGAAACAAGAGTACCATGCATGTACTATGAATGGGTACTCATTCTGAGGCAGGGGAGGGCTGTCCCCAGGTTACAGTGTGGGTGGTTGGATGTTATCAGAATAGCTGTTTCAGCACAACCCACCAGAAACACTGGCCACAGTGACACTTTAAGATGAGCCTCCTGACATCCTGGTAGACACTCAGACCCCCTGACTAAAGCTTGGCTCAATTAAGGGTTGGGTGAAAGGTATGGAGATTTGGGAGCGCCTATAAGAGGTAGGAGGCAGTATCCTAGTTTATACTGTTTTATGTATAGCTCAGCCTCATCTGAAGGTGAAGTCATAAATTCACAACATACTAGAGGTGGGATGGATCACTTCAGACATTCAACCTACAATTAAAAATGTGGCAGCCCAGAAAGGTAAAGCAACTTGCTAAAGGTAGAGCACAGCAGTGGCAGGGCCAGATTAGAATTCAGTAGGCTAATCCTCACCCAAGAATGCTGACAAAAAGTATTTGGCCACATTTTTCAATAAGGAAGACGAGCTAGTATAAATCCGAGGTGTCCAATCTTTTGGCTTCCCTGGGCCACACTGGAAGAATTGTCTTGGGCCACACATAAAATACACTAACAATAGCTGGTGAGCTTCAAAAAAAAATAGCAAAACAAAATCGTTTTCAGAAAATTTACTTATTTGTGTTGGGCTGCATTCAAGGCCGTCCTGGGCCACATGCTGTGGGTTGAACAAGCTTGGTGTAAATACTTTAATACCCCCCAAAGCTCCAAATGTATTAAAAAGGAAAAAACAAAGCAAAACAAATAAACAAACAAACAAACTCAGCCTAATCAGCTCAGCTCTCTTCTAAAGGGGTCTCTTCCCTGTCTCTCTGTGTCTATCTCTGTGTGGCTCTCTTCCCCAAATGCAATTTTGGTGGATGTAGATTTCTTGCTATACAAAGACAGAATCCACATCTCCAGGAAGACCCTTTACAGAGCATGTTTCTCAATTCAGGTCTTTATGTGAGGTCTGGGAAAGTGGCTTAGTTTCCAGAACAATAGGTGGTTCAGAAATCAGAAGATCATCCTCCCCAAAGGAGTTCTGGTCTGTGTTCACAAAGTTGGGGATGTCAAACTTCATGAGCCTGTTCAGCTCCTCCTCTGGCTGCCCAGTGCTTCTGATGGCCTCCTGGAGTTGGACATCACTGTCGAGGGCTGTGGTCTGGTGACAAGCTTTCACCTTGTCCAAGCGTTCTACCTCATTGATGTAGCAGTGAAAGAGAGACCTGGACTCCTCATTGCCTTGGCGAGAAAATACCTTATCTGGCTCCAGAGGTCTTCCAAAGTCTGACACAAAGCTGTTCATTCTGAATCTCTTCTCTGAGGATTCTGCATTGCTATTAAAAAAAAAAAAAAGAAGAAGAAGAAGGAAAAGACTGCTTACACTCCAGCCCATTCACCTGCAGAATCATGGTTTTCTGCATAGGGCAAGCCAGCACATTTCCACTAAGCACCTACTGAGTGTAAGCCCATTGCATTGCATACAGACAAATATGAAAAATATGAGACATCCCTTCTGAATATGTACAAATAAACCCAAGGCAAAAGGTTCAAGACGAGGGCCCCCAGATCATCCTGAAAACAGATACTTTGCTGAGGAATTCCGCAATATTCTGCAGACACAACAGTATTTTTCAGTGGGATTGGTGGATCATTTACATTGTAATTACTTGAAATGCCTCTTAAAATGCAGATTCCTGGGTTATAGACCTTCAGAATCTGTGAATGTAGGCTCAGTCATATGCATTTTCATATATTCTCTGCGGGGCAGACCCGGGCAAGAACCTCTGAGTGTTTGTTATTTAAGTTGAGACAAATGGTCTCCAGAGGTGGAAACTGAGGCAAGATCACTTTTGGAAGGAATCAGTGATTCTTGGAACCTGTGGGCTGTGGCCACCTTGAGCCCTTTGAGCTCTTTGAGCTCTCAGCTTCTATGGCTCACCTGTACTGCCTTGGTGAGACTTCACTCAGGCTAAGCCTCTTCTTCTTGATAGAGGCTTTTTGACTTTATCTGAGATTTGGTTTGATTATAAGCTTACCTAAAATGAAGAATGCTGCATCCCTACTGGAACTATAAAAGTCTTTTTGTTGGCAACCATTCCTGAGAAGTGTCCTTGTGGGGAGTACTCCAGTTTCTACAGGATTTACAATCTGTCTTTGAGGCATGGCTTTTCTGGTGAGTTCACTTTTGCTTCTTTCTGCATGCCTAGTTTAATATTTTGTTTAATCTTCATGCCTGGGTTAAAATTTCTGTGAACACTCCAATTTGGGTGTGCATGTATGTCAATGATTTGGCTTCTCCTCCTTGCTTCTGAAAATCTTCAAGAGCAAAAATAAACATCCTAAATAGTGGATAAATGATGGCTAATTAAAAGCCATTATGTCAACTCCCACTGTATAAGGCACTAATCTACACTCCTGACATTTTACTGACAAGATTTAAAGGATTTTCTTTGCACACCAGTACAAACTCCTGACATTCCTCTGACATGGTTTATGGGATTTTCTTTGCTCTTAAGAAATTAATAAGAAATTAAGTGAGATTCTCAAACATCACAGCATGCCAGGTCTTCTGGGACTCCAGCTGGCTATATGGCTTTTCCTGGTGCACACAAACTCAATGGGCATCATGGAGATCATTCAAACTCCCCACCCTGTTTTTCTTAGAGCTGAAATAGAAACTGCAAGTACAGAGTTAATACGTGGAGGCTTCTAGGCTATCTCTCTCTCTCTCTCGCTCTCTTTTTCTGCCTATGTTGAACCTGCTGACTTTTCTGCTGGTGTTAAGACAAACTCACTGCTTCTGGCATTCCAGTCAAAATGAAAAAAACTTAATAGGTTTACAGATTACAACAGGTTCCTGGAAACCAACAATTTAGATACCTTTGGAAATGTAAATCTAGGTTTGTTGGCTAAAAAGTGCTTTGGGTAATGGAACACTTAATTAAAGGTTGGTATTCTAAAAGCAAATAACCACATAAATGTTTATAGAACTTAGCCTCTCAGATCAAGCAAGGCAAAATCTTGCCCTCAGAGGAGTAATATATCTTTGTCTGGCATAAAAATTGCTTTATCTAACATGGAAAGACTAGAAAAAGCTGGAGAAAAACCATGCTAAACTGCTTCCTCATCCACATTGACTAGTCAAGCAAACCAGACCAGCAAACAAAAGATAGGTTTGTTACTAAAAACACAACGCCACTTGAAGATTTTATCTTTCTTATACAATGTAGCCAGTCCTGGCTAACATATAAATATTAAAAATATACCCTAAACTCATTTGAAACTGAAATAAAGGATGAAAGGTTTATTATTATTTTTATTTTTATCAAACTGCTATGAAAATTTTCTTATCCAAAATTTTAGTTCACAGCCTTAATAACATTATTTGCTGAGCTAAACAAAAATTAGCCAAGTGAACAAGTCCCATTTTGTTAGAAATACAATTTGAGTCCGACTGTCCTTTTATAAACTGAGTTTGTATTACTATGTTATACTGTCTCATGACTAAAATATCCAAATGAAAGCTAGAGAATCTGCTTCTATGTATTTGTGTTGTCTGTATGTTTTAATGTTGTATATATATTTTTCTACCAAAATATATTAAAGAGATCTGATTAATAAATTTAAAAGGGAAGAAAAGCACTTAAATTGAGGACTTTAACAAAAATATGGTAACTAACTCAAGTGTTTTTAGTTCACATTACTTACGTAAATCTTTGATGAATAAGCTGGTTTTAAGTTTGTTGATAAAATTGAAATAGAGAGGTCTTCAAAACTGTCAGCATACAATTTTGCCTGGGTTTTCATTCAGACAAGATTGTACTAGATGTTTTAAGGTGATAAAATTATAAATTCAGCCTAAAAACAGAATAAATTTGTTTCTGTAATTCTTCCATATGTAAGACTAATTTCATATTATTGGTTTAATAAAAGCAGCTGCATCTTCTGATTTATTGTAAAAATACTCATATATTTAACTTTAAGGTTCTTACTTAGGTGAACAACTGATATTCACAAGCTATAAAAATGGTTAAGAGGGACATAACTTAAAATAATGACTACCTTTATCGAATATCTCAATTTCTGTGAGTAATCCAAGTATAACTGTTAAAAGTAAACAGGCCAGGCATGGTGGCTCATGTCTGTGATCTCAGCATTTTGGAAGGCAAAGGCAGGAGAACTGTTTGAGCCCAGAAGTTTGAGATCAGCCTGGGCAACATGACAAAACCCCATCTCTACTGGTAAGTAGGAGAGAGACATGAAGAAAGTTGTAAGTATGAACATACATTTTTGGTAAGGAAGGTTAAAAAGAAAAGGGAATAATTTTGTATAAGAAAGGATCTGTGTAATAAATTTTTGTTCTAACATAAAATGGTTATTTAAGAAAGAGGAAGAATGACACAAAACTAAAGGCTTAAGCATGTTATTGAAAATTTGAGCAGGTCATGCAAAGTCCGTGAAGGCTATAATTAGAAGGTAATTATCTATAAGGCTTACTAAAGATTGAGCTTTGATATTAAAAATACAATGATATGAGAGAGAAAAAGTTATGTTTCTAGAGAAAAACTATAACACTCTTGTCCTTAGGTTTTTAGCCCTGTACCTTATTTTCAAGTTCTTATTACCTTCCTATGGGATAGACCACATCCTGAATTATTCTAGATTCTTTCAATCCAACTTTCTACCATGAAATTACTAAAAATGCAAACTGTTCTGTTTCTGAAGCCCTATAACCTTAAACTTGGTGAATTTTAAGGGACAAGTCTAAAGTGTAATGTATGGGTCACACAGAGAGTTCACCAAAGCACCTGTATTAATCTGTTTTCACACTGCTATGAAGAACTATTTGAGTCTAGGTAATTTATAAAGAAAAGAAGTTTAATTCACAAAGTTCTGCATGGCTAGGGATGTCTCAGGAAACTTAAAATCATGGTGGAAGGCAGAGGGAAAGCAAGGCACATCTTACATGGCGTCAACAGAGGGGGAACCACCACATACTTTTATTTATTTACTTATTTATTCATTCACTCATTCATTCATTCATTTACTTATTTTTGAGGTGGAGTCTCATTATGTCACTCAAACTGTAGTGCAGTGGCTTGATCTTGGCTCATTGTAACTTCTGACTCCCAGTTTCAAGTGATCCTCCTGCCTCAGCCTCCCAAGTAGCTAGGATTACAAGCACGCACCATCATGCTGGGCTATTTTTTGTATTTTTAGTAGAGACGAGGTTTTACCATGTTGGCCACGTTGGTCTTAAACTCCTGACCTCAAGTGATCAAACTGCCTCAGCCACCTAAAGTACTGGGATTACAGGCATGAACCACTGTGCCCAGCCGAGAAATCACCACATACTTTTAAGCCATCATATCTTGTGAGCACTCACTATCACAAGAATAGCAAGGAGGAAACTGCCCCCATGATCCAATCACCTCCCATCACATCCCTCCCAGGACACACGGGGATTACAATTTGAGGTGAGATATGGGTAGGGACACAGAGCCAAACCATATCAGCACCTTATGCCATAAATAGACACATGCAAACTGCAAACAAGGATGAGAAGTTGACAGCTTCATGCAGCAGACAGCTTTTCCCAAGACATCAGAATAAGACTCCATATCATAAGAGCCTTTTGCCCCTCTTAATGCCTACCTTTTTCACTTGACAGGATAATGGTGCACTTGAAATTTCACAATCAATACATTTTGCTGATAATTTGACAAAACCTGACCTAAGAGATACATCCTGTAGTGTACCTAATGGGAGACTTTGGCAACATCCCTAATACAACTGTTGTTCTCTGTCTGCTCTACTTTAATTCAACCTAGCCATGGGATACCAGATAATAAAATTGCTCTATATTACCTGTTATTTAAATAAATAAATATCTGTGCTATTGCCAGTACTACATACTGTACCTAGATATATTCCTCTGGGAAAATGGAGACCCATATATACAAAATAAGAAAACAGGCTACACAGTTAAAACACATCTCACCTAATTCCCTGTGGCCATTTGATTTATTCAACTGATTGCCTTTAAGCCCAGGTTCATGCTTCAAAACTATCAGGCAAACTGAGATTATCATATTACTATTAATTTTACTGTCCACTTTTCTTTGCAAACTTTGTACCTGTTACTTGTTAAACTTCTGCAGAAGTACAACTCCCAACAGAATAATGCTGGACCAGCAGTTTGAGGTGATAGCTAACACTTACAAAACAGACAAAATTATAAACTTAAATATGGGCTTCAGGTAGACTTAGCCTGAGAGCCATTCCATTCAAACCTCCTTGGTTGTTCAAATGTGGCTAAAAGGCTTTTGACACT